AATTCAGATAACAGAGACAATAAAGCCACAACATGACATCACTATCTTTATTGGAATGAGAATGGTTATTTAAAGAGAACAAGCCAAATAGTTGTGATGTCCAAAGAGCGTCATCTTGTAAGACATAGGACCATAACATGTCTTAGCACTGCCAATTATCTTCCCTCAACCTAATTCTTGGAACACACACACACACATACACACACACACACACACACACACACACATATATATATATATATATATATATATATATATATATATCCCTATTCTAATAAATGAATAGTTTTAATCTCCTTTTGACAAGTGTCACTCTAATACAACTCCTCATTAATATTATGCCATGTGTCATGTAGATATATTAGGCAACTCATTTCAAAATTTAAATTTAAATTTTCTAATTATATGTTAAATTTGAAGTTATAATAACTTTAAAAGTTTTTGATATATATCTTAATTAATAATTTATTTAAAATGACTTATTTAAAATAATTGATTAATAATTATAAAATTTTATTATAAAAGTTTAATTAATTTTATAATCGTGGTTCCCACGGGTTATAAACTAGTATATATATATATATATATCTATATATATATATATATATATATATATATATATATATATATATATATATCTATATGCATGGCCAAAATGTAGCCATAAAATTGAGTTCACGTTTAACTTTACGAATGGATAGTAAATTATGTTCTAATTTGGGCACATAAAGAATAGATTTGAGGGTTAGATTTAGGTTTATTTTGACTGAACCCACACCCGTAACTTTAGAGGATGTATCATCTGCAATTTTTACTGTGTTTTAGACTTGCATGAAACTCGAAGACAATGCTTGGATCTATCATATGATTTGATGCTCCAGAATCAAGAATCCAAGGGTTAATATGCCTTCTGCTAACCATAAGGGCTAATGAATGGTTACCTTTAGTGGTCAACAGCCCTATACCAGCCCTATACCCAGGAGTGGTGTTTGGTTGAACGGACTGGCTTAGGATTTTCTAAAGTGCCTTTAATTGTTCTTTGGTGAAAGGAGATGAAATGGATGTGTCCCCTTTTCCTTCGGCAACAATACTTGAAGGAGTAACAACCACATTCCCATGAGTTTCTTTGTCTTTCCATGATTTTGGTTTCCAATCAGCAGGTGTTCCATGAAGTTTCCAACATGTTTCTCGTTATTGTCTAGATTTGACGACAATGTTTGTCATGGTCATCTCTTTTGTTGTCCTCATGGCAGCAAGAGTAGAAGAATGAAGAATCTTGAGTGGATAGATTAGGAAAAGCACCAAGCATGACCTTGTTCCTGCTCTCTTCCTGTGTCAAACCTCTGAGAATGCTTCCTTGACATGAGAAAGAGGCTTGATACTCATGATCCTGCTCCTAACTGCCTCAAGTTCTTTATTGAGTACATGAAAGAAACTTGAAATTTCTCATTTTGTCAACAATATTCCAGTATAGAGTAGTGTCATCGGTACACTTCCAGGGATGGGTTTCAAATAGATCTAATTGTTTCCAATACCTAGTAAGAGGGTTAAAGTATTGTCTAACAGAGGTGTCTTCTTGGCGGGGGTCATAAAGGGTGGCTTCAATCTCGAAAAGTTCTTATGTATTTTCAAAACTGGAGTAGGATTCTTTGGCAGCATCCTAAAGTTCTTTTGCACTCGGATATAGAAAAAAATTTCTCTTATATCATTATTCGTAGAGCTGATTAGCCATGACTTAATCATGTGCTTATCAGCATTCCATGTTTTGTACTTTGGATCATTTGATTTGGGGTCTCGATCTCTCCAGTGAGATATTCCTCCTTTCCTTTTCCGCCAATATACATCATTACATATTGTGACCACAGAAGAAAGTTATGAACTTGTGTTTGGTAATAAGGGATACAACTTCATTACTGTGAGAGGAAGAACCAGAGATGTTGAGGTTATCAAGGGTAAAAGTATGTAAATAAGCATCGAACGTGAGACTGCCTTTGCCACCAACCATGAGATTTGTTAAAGGTGAAAAAAAGACTAGAACATAGATTGCTGGAAAATATGAAGATGAATGTGAAAAAGAGGATTTAAAGCTCTGATACCATGAAGCTTTTAGAATGAATTGATGATATATTCACTAGAGGAAAAATGCATATTTATTGGCTAATAATAGAGGATATCCTAGCTATGTAATCAATCCTAATTCATGTAAATCAAAGATTCTACCTATAATTCAGGGATTTACAATAACTAAGGCTATTCTTTAATTAGTACATCACAAAAAACAAGTGCTACCGAAAATCCAAGGTTCAATATGAAACTATGCTTTTGTGGGAAATAAGATATGACAAGGACTCTCACCATTTAGAGCACAACATGGCATTGGTTAATCAAGAAACATATTGTGAAAATTGCATTTTGCCTAAAATTGTTTTGATAAATTCATATAAAAGAGAAGTGCTTTAGTAGTTTCAAGAAAATACTTGTTTTTCTTTTGGCTATTCCATTTTGGGAAGTGGTATGTACTGATCTTGAGATCATATAAGTTTGAACTGATCTTGAGAAATCTTTTTTGTGTTATCACTTGTTAAAGTTCAGACAAGAAAATTCCAAATAGTCTTCATTTCCGCAACAAAGGCACTAAAATGAGTAAACAACTCGTAACGAATTTACTTTAAGTAAATATAGGTGGCTTTCGAAAAGTCATCAACAAAATTTACAAAATATCTTAATCTAGTTGTAGACTGATGGCCCCCAAACATCAGAAGGAACCAACTCAAATAGAGAATTAGCTCTTTTATCGACTGTAGGAGAACTCAAATGATAATGCGTGGAAAACCAACACAAATTGCAATTTATAGAAGGCAAAATATGAAACAGAGGACACAGTTTCTGTAATACATGTAAAGAGGATGATCTTATCAACAAGGGTCTTCAAAAGGGTGATAATGCTTGAAGAAGTACAACACCCCCGTAGTAGTTTGGTAGCTAAGATATATACAGACTTCTATATTCATGTCCTATACCAATAATATTTTTCTTCAAAAGATCTTAAAAGCATTAATGCGAAAAGAATGAGACAAAACCGTTTAAAGAACGAGTGATTTGACTCACATGTGTGATGGTAAATGAGATATTGGGGAGACTAAGAATCGATTATAAAAGGTAATGAGGGTGTTAAATTAATGGTGTCAGCACCAAGAACTTTAGATGTAGATCACTTTGCTAAAGTGATCTTAGATACGTTGGAATAAGATTCAGTGTTGGATAAGAGTTTAGGATTACCTTTCATGTGATATTTGGCACTCGTATCTATGACTCAACTGGTGGAACAAGAAAGAAGAGAAATACTTAGATAACTTGACTGATAAATGGAAGCAATAGAAAGATACTGACTTCAGATTTTCTTCATACGGAAGAAATTGTGTGTATTTAATTGCAGAAAGTGTAAACGAGGTATATTAGTAGTAGCAACATGGGCTGAAAAAGGATTTTGATTCTCAAACTTCCGCTGCAACTTTCCACAATTCCGTTCTCTATTCATGGTTCATTGGCAAAATTAACAAAAAACTGACCCTAGGTCTTAACTTGCACTTCGGTTGTAGATTTTAACATAACATGGATTTGATCCATACCAAAAAGTGCACTATGAGACTCCACAATCGTAGGAATCCTATTGGTTATTATCGGTAAGAACTACGAAGAATTCAAGCAAACACTCATGCAAAGAAGATGGTTTTGTGTTGGACAGAAGTTGGGATTTAACAGGCCCCATATTTAGAGTCAATAACAACTAAGAAACTCAATCATCCGTCTTCTCCCTTTGGGATTGTTGAATTCGTGTGTTAGGGAGGAGAAAGTCACTCCCTCCCAACCCACTGAACCCACTGTCACATCAGTTTTTGTCTCTTTTTTTTTCATCTTTTCCAACCCACAACACACGGAAATCCTATCTTTCTCAACTCATTCAACCCACTCAATTAAAAAAAAATACAAAACAACTAAGATATAAGTCTTAAAACACATGGTACAAGAGAAAATGAGAGAGAGAAAGTAAAGAGAGAGGATAAAGTGGGTTAGTGAAACCAATTAAACAACCCGCTGAAGAGGGAGTGGTACCGACGGTAACTCTATTGCTAATTAAGATTTTACCTTGCTAAATGGGTTAAGTGGGTTGAAAAAGATAGAGTTTTCGTGTATTGTGGTTAGGGAAAGATGAAGAAAAATTAAAGAGAAAAACTGATGTGGCATTGGGTTGAGTGGGTTGGAAGGGAATGACTCCCCCCTACCTTAGAGTTTGTGTGGTTAGTGTGTAGATCTTCTGTCAAATGACCATCTTTTGAATGCCTCTTAAAGTACATTCTTGATTGTCTTATACATTCCAAGTAATTAGACTCGTTCAAATTTTTTATCTAGTGATCCTGAAACCCATCGGAATCACGTCAGCCATAACCAAATTGTTGATCTCACCATCTATGAAGGCTCTGAAGAGACGATGTTGATGAGGGCGAATAGAAAAGAGAACAAAATAACATTCTCTCATACTCATTCGAAAAAAAAAGTTGCTCATCAGGGTATCGGGAAAACAAGAAAGCTAACCCTAATTACACACTCTGACACCGTGTAACAACAATAAGAGATAAAAGGTCAAATTATCGAATAACATGTAAAATATGTGCCTATATGTGGACTCTAAATTAGGAAGGATTCCTATGATCGATCTCCTACAATCTGGCTAATTATGACTTATTATACTTTGTAAACTCTACCCAGCTATAGCATTTTCCTTTTTTTTTCTTATTATGACTTATTATACTTTGTAAAATTTACCCACCTATAACAGTGAAGATCATTTTGTATTTCGATGATAGGGCAGGTTTTTCAAAGTACAATGCTATAGTAGAAAGATGAAAGTAGGATGTTATAACAAACACCTCAATGAAAGTACATTGCTATTTTCTAGCATTTTCCTATGTGTGAAATTGATAAACATAGAAGAAACAAACCTGTGAGGGCCAACCTCAAAGAAGAGACCAAATTCTTCACAAATAAAATTAGCAGATGATTTGTGTATCGTGGATCCGTTCCCTGCACATAAGCTTTCACTGCCCTTGGAGTAAGATATATTATCACCCAGATGGATAACAATAGGCAACATTTGCAACTTTAGATACACGGAGGGCTTGGAACCTGGATCTTTAGACAAATCGAGTACAAGATCTTTAATCTCTAGAGAAGCTTTCGGTGTCTGCCAAAAATTCATGAAAAGATAAACTAAAACTGTTTTATAAACTAAAGATGACCTGATTGATTAACATGAAACTAAAACAAATATATATATATATATATATATATATATATTATATATATATATATATATATATATATGAGAGAACTAATGGCAATCATCACACACCGTAACAAGGACACTAAACCCCAACTAATCACATAGTAGTTACCAAGTAAAATGCCCCCTCACTAGAGATAATTTTTCAAGCTTACCGCAACATTCATTAAGGATGTCGTAGTGGTTAAGATATAGTTAAAAGTATAAGCTTGGGTAAGGAAGGCTATTTATATATTCCCTGATACCTACAAGTGAAGTGAGCATCCCAAAGTAAGTATCTAGCTCTCGCAAAATTTTGGCACTTCCAAATGAAAAGTGAAGTGGGGTGTGGTCATGCCATGTTTATTTTCAAAGAATATAACATCCAGGTTCAGTTCTAGGTAGAATCTTTTTGTTGGTTGGTCTGGTCAGAAGATGTGATGAAAAAAAGCAATGATAAAAGTGATTGTGATTATACTGAGGGAGGGGACAAGTTTTGTAGGGCTATTTTTGGCACTTCCAGCATGAAAGGTGAAAGGTGAAGCGAGTCTCGTTCCACCTTTTTGTCCCATTGGTCAAAGTCAAACGCGGTGTAAGATGGTCAGTAATTCAAAAGGGCAATAATTTGTCGACAGTGATCAGCAAGCAAGAATGAAAAGAAAAGAAAATAGATGCATCAAACTTCTTACCTTCACAACCAAGTCTCTCACAGAAAGAGAAAAGAATCTTGCCACGTTAGCAATAACCATCAACTTTTTTCCTGGTTTGCTGCTTCCAGAAGAAGTCTTTGGTCTGCGTGATTTCGTTGTCTTTGAGGTTTTTTCTGCAGTCCTTGTAACAACTTCTATTTCGCTTATCACGAACAGCAGTTTTGGGTCCCTAGAAATAAAAGCAACCCCCAGTTTAACCAAGGATTTCCGTAAGCTAAGTTTGATTTCACCAACCGAAACGGATTCAACAACGCCCTGTAAATTTCCAACCATGAACATGCTATCATACAATCCAACTTTTCTATCATCTCAACAACCTACCTACCTCATCATACTTATAATAGATACATAATTAATATGAATTATTCTAAAAAAGATGTTACGTTCATTGTGGCTGGCTTATACAATCGTCCGTACAACAACTTCAGATCGTTCAAGAATGAGCATGTAAATCAAATAATCAAGATTTAGATAATTTCATACCAAAATTAAAACCCTCCAGAAGAAAAAGACTCGAAAAAAATACATAGACCAAAACAAACTAAATAAACCAACTTAAAGGAAAAAAAATGAGTACCTTTTCAAACTTGATCCTAACATCCCTCAAACATCTCCATCCACTAATTCTAAATCGCACAGATGCTTTCAGGACCCGGCTCAAAATCGAAGAAACTAACCTGGCAGTAAATCTGAAAAAGATATATATATATATATATATATATATAATATATATATATATATATATATATATATATAGTAAGTCTTCTGAAACTTGTAATTATAGCAGATATGGGTGATGTAATTATGATAAAATAATTCAACAAAACCCACACTTTGATGACAAAACAATTAAGCATGATCAAATGTTTGAAAAGGGAACTACTTCTTAAGATGCAACAAAATATTCCTTACAGGAAATCATTTATAACTATTGCTATTAAAATTCAAAAGCCACAAGATTCACAAATTGATATTGATTTAGGTGCATGATTAAGCCACAAAAAGTCATGCATTTGCAGTATTTGCAACAAGTAACTAAAACATGTGTAAACATTTTTGAATGAAAAAAGGGAACTACTTTTTATTTTAATCTTACACAAAGAAGATACACTTTGTCTATACAAAGGACCCCTTTTGAATGGTTTTATTCATAAGATTAACTTCTTGTTCACAAGGCATAGTTTATATATATATATATATATATATATATATATATATATATATATATTATATATATATATATATATAGGACTGAGTTATTGTTTGAACCAAAAAATTTGTGAGAACTTGAGAACTCATAATCTGCTCATCATTTTTCAAAACCAAAAACATCAATCTTATCAAAATGGTGTGGCTAAGCTATATCTAGGCTAAAAAAAAGATTTGACAATTTTTTTATTCATTATGGAAATTTGCATGTATGCACGATCAGCAGTTATATAGACTGTTGATGAGCACAATCAGCAGTCATATAGACTGTGGACATGCACAATCAGCAGTCATATAGACTGTGGACATGCACAATCAACAGTCATTTAGGAAAAAAAATTGGCTATTAATGATCGTCAGTTTTGTAGATCTTTTTGTTTGTATGTGTATGTTTGGGTATAATCTGATATAGATATTGGGTCCACGTATAAATCTGATGAATGTTTGTCCATATATAAAACTGATGTTTTCCTATGTGTGATCCGTTCTTTTTCCTGAATGTATAATCTACATTCATCTGGTATAGATCTTGTGTAAATATAAATCTCATAATGGTGTGTGCACTTAAAAACTGTCTTTTTTTTTTGTCTCTGTGAATTTATAAGACTGCTGTTTGTCTCTGTGAACTTATAAAACTTTTTTTTTGTATTTTGAATATTATATAGATCTTGTTTGTATGTATAAATCTGATGCAGGTGTGTGCATTTATAAAACTCATGTTTCTCTTTGTGTGATGCATGTTTTTTCTTTCTTATGTTAGAATTCTTCACTTGCTTCGTTTCTCCACTGAATCTGAAGCATTGAGTGTGTTTTGGATGGTTTAGTCATTAGGTTAAATTTTATGGGTTTTAGAGATAATATTTTTTTTCTTTTCATTGTTACTCTAGTTTTGTATGATTTAGACGTAAAAACAACATTCTTAATATATATTTTCTAAATTTCATAAATTGTTTGTATGTAGATATGAGTGATTTTGATTTTTATATATATTTAATATTTCCAATTGCTTTGAAAAATGCTTTCATGAAAAGAAGAGTAAATTACAGCTTTGGTCCCTATGGTTTGGTCATATTCGCACTCTCAATCCAATCTTTGAAAATTTGACAAGATGCAACCCTATAATTTAAAGAAATTACACTGCACATCCTTAGTCCATTTAAAAAGACAATTTTACTCTTACTTTTATATTTTTTGTTTCTTATATATATATATATATATATATATATATATATATATATATAGATTATATATATATATATCGATATATATATATATAAACAAAAGATCAAAAAACAGAAAAAAAAAATATTCGAACAATACATCAGAAAAAAAAACTAGATTTTTTTTCATGAAAACGTCAAAAAGTGTAAACGAAAAAAATATAAAAAACTTAAACAATATATTCGAATAATAATTCAAAAAAATATATAAAATCATAAAATATAAAAAAAAATCAAATAAAATGTAATCGGCAAAACATAATAGATTATATAGATATATATATTATATATATATATATATATATATATATATATATTATAATATATATTATATAATTGTTGAATTTTTTATATTTTCACACTTACATTTTATTTTATTTATTTGTATTTTTTATGATTTATATTTTTTTTTGAAATTTTATTAAAATATATTTTTTAATGTTTTTTATATTTTGTTAGTTTACATTCTTTTTAATGTTTTTAAATAAATTTTCTAGTTTTTTTAAATGTTTTGTTCAAGTTTCGGTTAGTTTTTGTATTAATCGTATAAAAATAATTTTATACCTAATCTATATTAATTATATTCACATTTAACAAAATTTTTTACATTTTTTATAAAAAATATTTTAAAAAGTACAAACAAACAAAACGTAAAAAATATTAAAATTTATTCAAATAACACGTCAAAAAAACTAGAAAAATTATTCAAAAAACAGCAAAAAAATATAAACAAACAAAATGTAAAACAATTAAACAATATATACGAAAAATGTCAAATAAAATCTAAATAATAAAAAATATAAATAAATAAAATAAAATGTAAGCGAAAAAATATATAAAAAAAATTTAAACAATAATATATATATATATATTCTATATATTATATATATATATTATTATATATATATATATATATATATATATATATAAAGTAAGGATAAAATGGTTTTTTTAAAGGGACTAAGGATGTATAGTGCAATTTTTTAAACCATAGATAAGCATTTTGCCAAATTTTCAAAGACTAGACTGAAAATACGAATATGACCAAACCACAGGGACCAAAACTGAAATTTACTCTGAAAAAAAATATTCAATAAGAAAAGTTAGTAAACATTAAATAAAGAAAATATATAGCATTTAATTTAACAAAAGAATTATTTACTTGACTGTCTTTCATCACACATTGATTTTCTTTTGTTCTTATTAAAATATTATATTTGTTAGAACAATTTAACTAAAAGTTATAATAGTTAAAATTTTCGACAATAAAAATATCATAAGTGATTGTTTTGTTTATATTCTTATAACTTAATAAAACATGTTACTTTATTTTTATATTTCAAGAAATAACATAATTATTTTTTGAATATAAAATGTAATTGATAAATTTAAATAAGATACAACGCGCATCTTATTTAAGTAGCTATTGATCCAATATTTTTATTTCACATTATACAAAAAATTTACTAATGAACTAATCTATTTTATTTTATTCATGTTTTCCTATCTTGAAATTTGTTTAGTTTTTTTTAACAGTAACATGATTAAGAGAATATATATGGTGATGTTAATGGAACTTCATTTACATGTCTAATTTTGTTACCACCCATTGTTTGAGATGTTTTTTTTGTGCATATAGCTCACTTAAATTTTCTTTTTAAATTTTTTTATTTTTTTGTAAATTAATACTGAGTTAAAACAAATTAAATTAAAACTAAACAACTAACTGCAACTCTTTAAAATTCACAAGAATAGTCAAACTATTTTAGATAATTAATAGAACAAATTGCATAAAAACAACAAATTTTGATTTATATTAGATTGAGAAAACAACATTTATTTTTCCTTATAATAAAAGTAACAAAATTTTAAATAAAGATTTCAAATTAAAATGATATAAATATCATTATACATAACAATATTAACTAATCTTTAGTGGAATTTATATAGTAGAGCTTTGTTTTCATTTAAAATCATTTTTAGTATAAAATAAAATAAAAAAATGTTTACAATTATAAATATATATTTTAATAATAATTGTTTTTTTATAGATTCATTACATATTCTTTGGAATATGATATGTTCCCAAAATGAAATTAATCGTCATATAGAAACTAACACTAAAAACTAAACTATTCGTTGTCTGTTAAATGAAACTAATTGCCAATCGAACCTATTCACGGATCCCGCATTGAAGATCATTGCACATACTTTTACATTTAATATAATCGTAAAATAAAACCAGAGCAATAGATGACAGATGATAGGAAACTATTTCACTCCCGCATCTATGTATTCGCCGATAGAATCTTCAAGGCACAAAACAATCTGCTAAAATGTTTAAACGAACTCACACAAAAAGAAAACTAATCGTCATATGAAAAACAAAATTATCAGGTTAAAATAGGGAGATGTATGTTTAATTTAGATACTCATGGTAATATGAGCCATATACTGACCGATACGAAAATGAACGTGAACATGAATTTGAATGGAAACATTTTCTTGCAAAAATAATCTCCTTTTTATGTACAAATTTCCATTCAGTTCTTGTTGAAAAACACCATAGCAAAACACTCCATCGTTTTAACCTCTTTAAAACGCTAAAATCGAATCGAAACTGTTTTGACAAATAAATCATAAAGCCCAGGATGATGATGGGGAAAAGAAGATAGGTAAGAAGATAATTTCTGGGGAAGTGGAACACGTCAAAATGTAAGATTTAATGGAGAAAGAGAGAGATCAAAGAATGTTGAGATCCGTCAAATGCTGAGAGATGATAGAGTGTAATTTGAGAGCCAATATTTTGCTTTTCGTTTATCAGAGATGTTGGCTACAAGTGCGAGTGTTATTGAGGTAAACTCCAATCGAAGTTCTCCCCCGAGAGTAAGGCTCCATACCAATAATAGTCCCTAGAGCTTCTACATACTACGGTTAAGCTTTCTGTTTGAATTTTTGTTATAAATTGGTCATTTCTTAAGGAGGGCAAATTTGTCTATTTGTCATACTAGCCGTTTATCCGCGCTAAGCAACGAGTGTGAATATTTTTTTCAGAAATTAATTTCTACAAACATTTAGTTCTTTTGCGGAAATAGTATTACTTTAAAGAACGTAACATACAAGGAAAAGTATTACTTTAAAATGTAAATAATTATTAAAGATCTATAATCTAATTTTTTTCTAAATGTAAACAATTATTATAATAACTCAGAGTAAAACATATATCACGACATATATTCTCTAAATCATGTTTATACTAAAAAACTAAATAATGAAGGGCATTTTGTTTTTTTTTCAAACTTTTACGTTTTGTCGTATATAACCATGATGATTGTATAAAGTAAAACTTAAAAAAACAGAAGGGTTTATTAAAGACATTTATGTAAATACAAGGGTTGAAAAATAACCTTTGTTTTTCCTTATAATAAAAGTAACAAAATTTTAAAATAACGATTTGGTATAAAAATGACATAAATATCATTATACATAAAAATATAAAACTAATCATTAGTGGAATTTATATAGTAGAGCTTTGTTTTCATTTAAAATCATTTTTAGTATAAAATAAAAAAAACATTTACAATTATAAATATATATTTTAATAATATATGGTTTTTTATAGATTCATTACATATTCTTTGGAATATGATATGTTCCCAAAATGAAATTAATCGTCATATAGAAACTAACATTAAAAACTAAACTATTCATTGTGTGCTAAAGGAAACTAATTGCCAATCGAACCTATTCACAGATCCCGCATTGAAGATCATTGCACACACTTTTACATTTAATATAGTCGTAAAATAAAAAACCAGAGCAATAGATGACACATGATAGGAAACTATTACACTCCCGCATCTACGTACCTAGCTCGAAATTATTCGCCGAAAGAAACTTTCCGACACAAAACAATCTCCCAGAAGGTTGAAACGAACTCGCACGAAAAGAAAACTAATCGTCGTATGAAACTATCTGCTAAAGTGAACTATCTGGCGCCGCTGCATCACGCGGGTACTAGTATATATATATATATATATATATATATATATATATATATATATATGTTTTGAACTTCCCTATGATGCGTAACACCACTTACCCTACTACTCTTTCAGCTAGCAGTGCCCTTAAGCTCCCAATTTGTAATAAGGGAAGTGATTGAATAGAAGAGGCTCTACTATGTTTAGCATGCATTCGACTACGACGGGAACCGATCTCAATGAGGCTAAAACTGCATTTTTTTGTCCCAAGGAAGGTGATGTCCAGACTTGAATGGATTCACTCCTCCTTATCATTGAGGCAAGCTAGCATGAACATGAACGAACATAATGTTCTCCATGTGAGTATTACTATTAGTGTACTTTGTCACTTGGGACATATAAACATCACACTTGACTTCCAATTTTGCAGTTCTATCTAATTAGAGGATGTAATCAAAGTGACTTCTATGGAAATATTGATTATTGTACAACAAATAAAAGCACCTATAATATGAATTATCCGACTATCAGTTTTAAATAATCTTAATGAACTTCTCAATGTAAAATTTTAGTAGGAACGAAGCAATAGTATAGTCAAATCACAAATACGGTTGGCTGTATCTCATTAACGCAAATTTCGAGTTATACATACAACAATAACATAATCAATGGCAATAACAATTACTTTAAATGAAAAACAAAAATACCAGGTTAAAATAGAGAGATGTATGTTTAATTTAGATACTCACAGTAATATGAGCCATATACTGACTGATACGCAGAGGAACGTGAACAAGAATTTGACCGGAGACATTTTTTTTGCAAAAACACTCTCCTTTTTATGTACAAATTTCCATTCAGTTCTTGTTGAAAAATAGTAGATTCAGTGCAAAGCATTCCATCATTTCCACCTCTTTAAAACGCTAAAATTGAATTGAAAACTGTTTTGACAAATAAATCATAAAGCCTAGGATGATGATGGGGAAAAGAAGATAGGTAAGAAGATAATTATGGGAGAAGTGGAACATGTCCAAAATGTAAGATCTGAAGGAGAAAGAGAGAGATCAAAGAATGTTGAGATCCATGAAATGCTGAGAAATGATAGAGTGTAATTTGAGAGCCAATATTTTGCTTTTCGTTTATGAGAGATGTTGGCAATAAACACGGGTGTTCTTGAGGTAAACTCCAATCGAAGTTCTCCCCCGAGAGTATGGCTACATTCCGATACTAGTCCCTAGAGTTTCAATTACTACAGTTAAGCATCTGTTTGAAGTTTTGTTATCAATTGACCATTTTTTAATGAGGTCAAATTGGTCTATTTGTCAAACTATCTGTTTACCCACGCTAAGCGACGAATGTGAATAATAATTTCAGAAATTAATTTTTACAAGCGTTTAATTCTTTTGCAGAAATAGTATTACTTTAAAGAACGTAACATACAAGGAAAAATATTACTTTAAAATGTAAATAATTATTAAAGATCTATAATCTAATTTTTTTTCTTTCTAAATGTAAACAATTATTATCGTAACTCAGAATAAAACATATATCACGGCATATATTCTCTAAATAATGTTTATACTAAACAACTAAATAATGAATGCATTTTGTTATTTTTTTTTCAAACTTTTTCGTTTTGTCGTATATAACTATGATGATTGTAGAAAGTAAAACTTTAAAATACAGAAGGGTTATTCATAGACATTTATAAATAGAAGGGTTGAAAATAAGTTTCTAAAACTCTTAAATGAATGTCGGAGTAGAACAACCTATATAACTATTTACAATGAAGTGTCGTAATATATTCTGGTCTTAAAGCCATAGCTAGCTGCATACTTCTATGATTTGTCCTGGACACATCAAAAGTCCATATCATTATCTTTTGAATTTAAAAATTACTTCCAAAATTATTCATATTATATTTCCTTTCATTTTAATATACATTCATTTTATAATTTTAATAATTAATTTGTTAGATAAAACCTTACTTTATATTAAACTACTATTTTATTTAAACTCTAATATGATCTTAATTAAAGTCCATAATACCAACCCTTAAACAAAAGTATCCTGTTTTTCCTTAGAAAACCAAAAAGAAATATATATTTATTTAGTTAACATTCTTCATTTTTAGTAAAGATAAATGTATTTTATCTACTTTTTGTTTATTTAAATTTGGACTCCCCATAATAATTATTATAACGTCAAAAATGTATTCCAACTTTTAGTAAAGAAAAATACCAATATTTCTTGATTAATTATGAGATATTTTAATCAAAATATTATTATAAAACACTATATCTATTAAATTAAGTTAAATTTTCACATATTAATTAATTAATAGAATAAAAACATGACTTTAGACCGTTTTGATTTATTAAGATGTATTTATTATAGAGTTGACCTATTATACATATCTTTTGCTTCAAAATAATACTCGTTTTTTTATTTAGCTTTATAAATAAAATTTTAAATTACGCTTATGAAAAGATATTGAAATATGAGATAATATAAAAATACAAATAAATTTAAATTACAATTGAGTATGTTGTACGAATAAGCAATTGATAACTGCAATATAATAATATAAAACATCTTTTCTTTTTAAATTTACCATATCGAGAATTATTGGGAATATAATCAAAATGAAAACTATTTGCGTTATTAATTTAAAAATATTTTCTTTATATTGAATATATCCTTCATATTGTTTTATAGGAACCCATATGATTATTTTCAAACTTTATACCCACGTGATCATTATATTTCTTATTAAATTCAGTGTTTTAAAAAACAATCTAACTTTTTAATATACAAAAAGAACAACCAAATCTTTGCAATAAACTTTTATTTACACACTAATATTTGTTAAATCATATATACCATAACATGTAACAATATTAAGAAAATTTTATCATATTAGACAAAGAAAATTTCATATCTACTGATAAGAACATCTTTATGTAAACAAAGTAATATTCCTATAAACATTTAAAAACAAATCCTGATAGATATGTAGATATAAAACTATAATCACAACTACAAATAAGGACATAAACAGTTAGATCTGGGAATACAACCAACAAAATAATACACACAAACATTTAAACACATTTACATAGATCTAAAACATATTTGTCAGATTAATACACATACATACAAAGATATTGCTAAGAACCACCCTAACAACAAAAATAAGAAGAGGTGAAGGTTACTTCAAAGATTAGTAACCAGTCTACATATTGTCTCTCCCACCCTTCTCTTCATGTCTCTTTTTTTCTCATATCAGAAAAATGTGAAGATACCTACATACTTAGATCGACATAGATATGTGCAAAATACCACACAATCTGTTGACCATGCAAAACCCTATGTTAAAGAACGAAGCTCTTAAAATACGATACCAACGATGGCCTTCTCCATGTTCTAAAAATCCCAAATATACTACCCATTTGGATTTACTTGTCCATTTAGGGTCTCATGAAACAAAATATTACCTAAACATGAGGGGTTCAAACACTGATGAGGCTACTCCCACTTCTTGTTCCCTATAAGTAAAGAAAACAACCTTGACCTGATTATATAGAGAAACAATTAAGAAACTTTGTGTTAATAAGCGTTGCTTTTATACATTGATTATATGAAGCAAATCTGAACATATCAAAGAACAAGAATTAAAAGAGAAATCAAGTTGTTACTTTAACCACCAGGGTATTGGGGATCTAGATCTTGAAATTCAATAGTGACGTCTTGATAAATAGAAGAAATAAACTGAAGTAAGGAGATAGATGGTTGCAGTGAGTAAAGGGTGTGTTGGTTTCTCTAAAAAATAGTTGAAAAAGTGGCGATGGTGGTGACAGTGGCATCAATGGATACTTCAACGACTGTAGGAGACGAGATTGAAGAGGGAAAGGCGTAAATCTGAGATAGAGATGGACTTCCGGTCGTCGACTTCAAAGATGGACAATGGAGGTTATGAAGTTAGATCTGGTGCTCACACGGTGGTTAGTCGTGATGATGGATGGTAGTGACAACTCAGGCTGTACAGGTGTTGTGATGAAGGAGACGGAAGCTGAAGAGTTAGGTTTTATGAGGTGTGCTTGTATGTTATCAATGAGGAGTCCATGGATCCTTTGAAAATCAGCGATTCATATTAAACACGTTGCAATCCATGTGATTGCCATAAAGGAAATCCATGTAATTTTGTCTTTTAAGATAGTTGTGCTCCACATTGTTGTATATTGTGCAAAGTAAATTGTATTTAAGAGTTTTTCTTAAAAACATGTAAATTGTATTTAAGAGTTTTTCCTTAAATGCTTTATGAGTAGTATATATATATATATATATATATATATATATATATATATATATCTATATATATATATATATATATATATATATATATATATATTATATATATATCTATTAGGAGTTATCAATTTTTCATTTGCAAAAATGAAATTATCAAAAGAACAACGAAAAAGATTCGACTTGGCGGTTGGAGCTTCGTTTTCATCATTTTCACAAAATTTCCATAGCTTGACATGAATGTATGGTATTAGATGAATTGGTTGCTTCCATTACTTCCATATGGACTAGTAATGAGTCTCTGCCAATTAAAATGAGATAATTGTGTAAATAATTGTGCAACGCCCTGATTTTCGAAATAAATAATTGTGCAACGCCCTGATTTTCAAAATAAACAATTGTGTAACGTCATGATTTTCAAAATAAATTTTCATTTTTAAAATAGAATAAACATTCACTTTTATAAAGATATATTCAAGGTAAAACCATTTGATCATGTGTGTTAAAAATACCATTAAACTAAATTAATGTTGTTACAAGGTAAAAACCTATTCTTTTTGTGTTTAAAACACCATTAGTTATGGGATTAACAGGTTGTCCTGGTTTTGAAGTATGCCCAAGACATATTCAACTTATATAAGTGTTTTAAACATACCATTCTCACCTTTTGGGCCATGATCATAATATCAACCACCGCAAAAGTCACATAGCCATGGGACCAAAGTATGCATATCAGTTTCTTTAGATAAAACAAAAAGTGGGTGCATCAGTTTCACTAGGTGCTGCACTACAAAAACATGAAGCCCCAACAAAAATATGTCCCTAATGGAAAGCAAAAGTGTGTGGACTGTCATATTTGTGACGACACGAAATTTCTATCTTGTACAACCGTTTAATTCAATCAAAGTCTGACTCGTTTCTGCTACCTTTTAGCATGGTTTAGAGTCTGTTTGAGTGTTTTAAGCCTAGTACCTTCAAAGTTAGGGTTTAGAAATGGGTTCCCTAAGTTCATCACTTTTCAAAAGGGCTAAACACTCCTTCATGAGGAGTGTACGACCGTACACATGGGTGTACGGCCGTACACCCCCCTCCTGGTTGTACACTCTCACATATATATGTGGGACTTAGCCATTTTTAATCACTTTTCACTCCTTCAAGCCAAGAAATTGATTCTCTCTCAACTATCATCAGGTTTTTCATCTAGATCTTCAATATGTAAGTGTTACTTCCTTTGATTAGTTAATTCATTACACTATCTAGTGAAGATCCATGATTTCATCCATGAAATTACTTCTTTTGGTTAGATCTTCAAGTGTTCTTCATTTTCACCAAGAACACACACTAGTTCTTGGACCTTAAACACCCCTAAAGGCTTCTAATTCATAAGTATCTCTTCCATCTTCTAGTTAGGCTTGTGAATCACTCCTTTTCTAGCCTTAAAACATCATATAATGCATGGACACAAAGAGTGTGCGGCTGTACACCCTTCATATGGCCGTACACCCC